GGGTTTTAAATGTCAGACTGAGAAGTCTGTCTTTGAATTACATGGTAAGAGAAAGTCACTGGAATTTATTGAGTAGGAAAGTGACACAGTCAGACTTGTGTTTTAGGAAAATCATTTGGCAGTTGTGTGAAAGATGGATCGGAGAAGGGAGATTTGAATCTAGGGGACAAATTATTGTCTTAGTCCAGCCAAGAGATGATGAAAGATTGAACTAGGGTGGTAGTAGTTGTGAGTAAAGGAGACAGATGTGAGATGTAGAGTTAAAATCATCAAATTTTGGCAACTGATCAGATATATGGGTGACGAAGAATGAAAAATTTAGGGTGTTGAGGTTTCAAAACTGGGTGACTGGAAGGACATTAGTGCCCTTGGAAGAAAGAGACAGAAATCATAGAGTTCAGAAAATGGATAGGTTTGTGTGGGGGGAGGGTGAGGGAGATGATAAGATCTGTTTTGAACATAGAAAGTTTGAGATACCAAATAGGACAGACAATTTGAAATGCCTGTTGAGCATTTGGTAATGTAGTAGGTGTCTTCATTTTCTCTCCTTTTATTTTCTAACATCTTATAATCTTTCCTCATCGTTCCATTAAAACTGCTGTCTACAAAGTTATAAGTGATCTCTTAGTTGCCAAATCTAATGACCTCTCAATCCTCATTCTCCTTAACCTCTCTGCAGTTTTTTTTTTGTTTTGTTTTTTTGGGGGGGGGGCTAGGCAATGGGGTTAAGTGACTTGCCCAGGGTCACACAGCTAGTGAGTGGGGTTTTTTTTTTGTTGTTTTTTTTTGTGTCTGAGGCCAGATTTGAACTCAGGTCCTCCTGAGTCCAAGGCCAGATCCACTGCACCACCTAGCTGCTCCCCTTTCTGCAGTTTTTGACTCTGTTGATCACTCTCTTTTCTTTGACACTGTGTTATCTGGAAGATTTTGGGACACCACTCTCTCCTAGTTCCCTCCCTGCCTCTGTCTCCTTCTCTGCTTTCTTTGCTGAATCTCCCTCCAGATCATACCCTCTAAATATAGGTGTCCCACAGGGTTCTGTCCTGGGCCCTCTTCTCTTCTCCCTCTATTATATTACTTCACTTTATCATTTCATCAGTTCCCATGGATTTAATTACCATCCCTATGCTGATGATTTTCAGATGTATCTATTCTTCTTTAATCTCACATCTCCAACTACTTTTCAGACATCTCAAACTGGATGTACAGTGGATATCTTAAACTCAGTATTTCCAAAACAGAACTCATTATCTTCCCTGTAGAAGGCCCACCACTAACTTCCCAACCCCGCAGGTGGGGAACCTGCGGCCTCGAGCCACATGTGGTCCTCTAGGTCCTCAAGTTTGACCTTTTGACTGAGTCCAGACTCCATGGAAGTAATCTAGAAGGCCCCTTGCGGCTTCAAGGCCCGAGGTTCCCCACCCCTGCCCCACACTAACAACTTGGGCATCATCTTCTACTCCTCACAATCTCTAACCCCCTACATACAATGTGTTGCCAAGGCCTGTTGACTTCACCTTTGCAGCATCTCTCCAATACATCCCCTTGTCTCCTCTGACACTGCCTCTGCTCTGGTGCAGGCTCTCATCACCTCACACCCGGACTATTGCTCTTGCCTGTTGGTGGGTACTTGTGTAAAGGCAGCAGTTGGGATGGAGAGGTAGATTGTGAGTCAGGTACTGATTTCTTTGAGAAAGGAGGCAGTGAACAACCCAAGCGCTGGTAGATAACACCACCAGGAAATGGATTGGATAATTTTGGATAGAATGAACCTCAAAGAAGGAGAGGTTGCTGCGTAATGGTATCACAAGGGGTCTAAAAATGGCCATAGGTGATAAAGAGTATTCCAATCCCACCTTTAGGACAAATGTGTTAGGAATTACAGGAGAAGGTGCAGCAGTGCTGGAGAGGCTCTGGGCCATAGAGAGACTTTCAGCTAATAGGCTGATGATTCAGTAGTCTATGGGATTCAATAGATCATTTGGCCCTGAGTGGGAGGAGAATGGGTGACAATGAAACAGTGGATCACTGGTGTTATTGTGGTTGTTCCTTATTGTCAGCATTTTTAGGTAAAGGAGAAGCAGCATGTACAGGGACAAAGGCCCCAAGAGCCAGCCTATAGGATTAAGCCCTAAATTTTTCCCATCTCCAGTAGCTGCCCCCTGTACAGCTGTGAGGATTAGGTGAGAACACTTCAACACAGTTCTTCCCACAAGGAGGGTTTAGAAATTGAAGTAGAATTGACAGGAACCTTAGAAGGAAGAGGTCATGCCTTACTTGGGTTTATCAAAGCTAAGCGGAGGAATGTAAACCATAGTCTGATGTGTTCCAAGACTTACGAAGAACTTATTTAAAAGAGTCCAGAGAAAAGATGGGTCTAATCCTTGGCCAGAGACTCTGAAGGAGAAGAAAGCTCAAGACATGATGGAAGGCTCTCAAGAAAGATATACTGATGAAGAATAGGCAATGGGGTAGGAAGGGAAGAGCTCTGGATGTAGAATCAAGGGTCCTTGGCTCAAAACCAAACCCTCCCATTCATTGATTGTATCACCTATAACTTTTCCTCTCTGGTCCTGAATTTTCTCAGCTATAATATAATTGAACCAGATGATCTCGGACATCTGTTTCAGTTCTAAATCATCTGACCTCAGGAAGCATGTCAGCAGAGCAGCAGAAGAGTAACAATAAACTTTCCTCTCCCTCAGCCCCATAATTCCTTCAATCATCTAGAAAATGTACCAGATCAAATTCTAATTGGAAATTTTTTTTTAAAAAAATCACACTGAGGCTTTTTTAGAGTCCAAACTGAAAGAGGGAAACAGAGATCTGTGGACACTGGGGACTGGGTCTGCCTATGTCTTGAGTTGGGGTATGGAGAGTTCCAATGTAGGGAGACACTGCTTCAGGGGAAGAAGTCTCATGACCAGCACAGAGAAACCTAAACTTGTATAGGTTGTAGGAACAGGTGCTCACTACACAGCTTCAGGTCATGCTCACTATACAGTCTCAGGTTGAGCTTAGAAAGAGATCTGTACCTAGGATAGACTGTATATTGAACAAGGATCAAGTTTAGAAGCAAGCAACAGCTGTGTGGTTCTGACCCCAGGAGCAGAGGAGTGTCTCAGGTCTAGCTTCCAGGTCTTGAAACCTGCAGGAGAATAACTGGGCAGGAATCTCAGATCAAAAGGGAGTTCACACCTCTGTCACTGAATCATCAGAGCTTTCCAGATGCCTGATAAAGGCTGAGTCTAGTAACTGGCTATTAGAACTTCAAATGAGGCAAGGCATGTTGCTCAGGTCCAAAATCAAACCAGGAGCCTGCATACCCAGACCAGGAGGGGCAGCAATCAGACTTTGTCCTGGGTCAGGCCACTGTACTAGACCATTTTGGGATCATTGAAGGTTTACAGATGCCCAGACTGAGATGTTCCCAAGATCCTAGAATAAACATCCTACACATTCCCTCCAGAAGTATAGAGTCCAGCTTTAACATAAAGCCTGAAGTCAGGAACTAGGCTGAAAGAATGAACAAAGGCTACTATGGTGACGGATGTTCAAGAAAGAGAAACAGAAGGGAATGACTCCAAAACATGTACATGTAGGTTGGGTTGAATTACATTTGAGCTCCCTTCCAACTCTGAGATTTGTGATTGTGAAATGGAAAATGCTCTGAATCTGGACTCAAAGGCAGATGGGAAGAAGAAAGGATTAAGCATTTATTGAGCACCTATTCTGTGCCAGGAACTGTGATAAGTGGTTTATAAATATTCTCTCATTTGATCAGATCAAAGGATCTGATTTCTAATTCTGGTTCTGCCACTGATGACCTTCATTCTATTGGACAAGTAAGTCATTTCCTCTCTCTGGCACTCCATTTCTTCATTTGTGAAATGAGGAGTTTGGAGCAGATGATGTCTAAGGTCCCTTTCAGCAACATTTGAAGCTCATAGCTTCTAGATCCCTTTGCTAGCCTAGCTTTACTGATCACTACCATCAACCATCCCTGCCTTCTTCTCTCTTGCTCTGTCATTTCTTCCTTGGATGGTAAATTAACTTTATAGTTTAGGACTTTGATGAAATTTGAAGCTAAGGAAAAGTGGGTGGAATCTAAACTGGTTTGGAAAATTAATTCTCAAGACAACTCCAATAGGGGATTCCTGAACTCGAAGTGAAAGGGCAGAGCCTTTGCATGATCAACATGTCAGACCTTTGGATCAGAGACTTTCAATCTGCAGGATATCTATCACTATACCATTTACTCTCTTCAAAGTGGTAATGAGAGACATTGCGATGTGGTGAAACAAGAGATCTAGCTCAGAGTTCAAAAGTTTCAAGGCCCACCCCCGTGACACCTGGGTCACTGAACAAGTAAGTCACTCAACCTCTCAGTGCTCTAAGACAACTCTGTAAGGCTATGAGTTGCAGAGGTGTTGAGCTACATTAGCAAAAGTCATTTCCTCTTCCCAGATTCCATAGACCAATAAAATCATAGGACCAATCCCTATCTCCGTCCTTCAAGGTGGTAACTTTTCTTAATTTAGCTTAAAACAAAACCTAATTTGCTCTTTTCTTCTAGATGATTCAGCTTTGCTAACTTTCAGTAGTCGTTAGAGTCCACAGCAAAATTTCAAAGACCTCCTTTAATTCTTAAGAGATTTTGAAATTACTAAGTGTCCATCACCCTGTCCTTATTCCCTTAGAGCCCTGGGATAATCATTTCCCTTCCTCAGGCAAACACACAACCGAAAAGCTGGTGATTGTCCCACCAGCCCCTGGGTCATACATGTTTAACCTGTTCCTATTTCTGCTCCTGCTTGGGGTGGGTGTGAAGTTTGTGCCCTGAAAGTCTATCCTTTAGGTAACAGGGATCCTCTACACACACACACACACACACACACACACACACACACACACACACACA